ACACACACACACTTACACACATCACACTTACTCACACACACTTACTCACACACACTTACTCACACACACTTACTCACACACACTTACACACACACTTACACACACACACTTACACACACACACTTACTCACACACACTTACACACACACTTACACACACACACTTACACACACACACTTACACACACAAACTTACACACACACTTACACACACACACTTACACACACACACTTACACACACACACTTACACACACACACTTACACACACACACTTACTCACACGCACTTACACAGACAGGCTTACGCACACACATCAGATTAGAGGATTCACGAATATTAATATTAGTAGAATCAGCATATGTGCTTAAAATATGATAGTCACAATTGAATATATAATAACATTGACTCACACACACTTACTCACACACACTTACACACACACACTTACTCACACACACTTACTCACACACACTTACACACACACACTTACACACACACACTTACACACATCACACTTACTCACACACATCACATTAAAAGATTCACTAATATTAATATTATTAAAATCAGCATATGTGCTTAAAATATTATAGTCACAATTAAATATATAATAACATTGACAATTTCAAACATATTTTTATATTTTTATATTTTTTCATATATATCATCAACTATATTAAGTTTAGTATTTAAAATTTAGAATTTTTAATCAAAACAATAATGGACTTGAACAAAAATAAAATAATTAATGTAGAAGACTTTGAAATTTATCAACAAAAAGTTCAAGAATTAAAAAATAATAATAAAGAGCTTGAAAATAAACTTGATAATCATAGAGTTAATTGTGATAAGCATATGTTATACATATTAAAATTCGAAAAAAATTAACTTTAGAAAACAATAAAATTTTCATAAATATAAAAAAGAATTGATTTATTTAAAAATAACTTTAATATGTACTATACTCATCACATTAAAAGATTCACTAATATTAATATTATTAAAATCAGCATATGTGCTTAAAATATTATAGTCACAATTGAATATATAATAACATTGACAATTGCAATCATTCACACTCACACACACACTTTACTCACACACACTTACTCACACACACTTACACACACACGGTTACTCGCATAATAACATTGACAATTTCAATCATTCACACTCACACATCACACTTTCTCACACACATCACATTTAAAGATTCACTAATATTAATATTATTAAAATCAGCATATGTGCTTAAAATATTATAGTCACAATTGAATATATAATAACATTGACAATTTCAATCATTCAAACTCACACACACTTACTTACACACTTACACACACACACTTACACACACACACACTTACACACACACACTTACACACACACACTTACACACACACACTTACACACACACACTTACACACATCACACTTACTCACACACATCACATTAAAAGATTCACTAATATTAATATTATTAAAATCAGCATATGTGCTTAAAATATTATAGTCACAATTGAATATATAATAACATTGACAATTTCAATCATTCACACTCACACACACACTTACTCACACACACTTACTCACAAAATGTTATAGTCACAATTAAATATATAATAACATTGACAATTTCAATCATTCACACTTACACACACACACTTACTCACACACACTTACTCACACACACTTACTCACACACACTTACTCACACACACTTACTCACACACACTTACTCACACACACTTACACACACACACTTACACACACACACTTACACACACACACACACTTACACACACACATTTACAATTGATTTGATAATTGATTTTACCAAGGAATCTTTTCAATTCAGTCAAAGTTTTCGGAGGATTCAGATTGGATATGGAAGTAATATTCTTATGGAGTGGCCTTATTTCATTCAAGCTTATTTGGTGACCAAGATAATTTACTTTCAGTTGAATCAGCTCAGACTTGTCAAAATTTAATTTCACGTTCTCACATCTCATGGCTGATAAGAGGGCTTCAATATGTTCAACATGTGTTTCAAGATCATAGGAAAATCATCAATATAATTGTGACAAAAATTAATAAGTTTATATTTTTCTAAAATGTTCCTGATAGCTCTTTGAAATATTGCTGGTGCATTTTTAAATCCAAATGGCATAACACACCATTCATAATGTCCGAATTGAGTGATGAATGCGGTTTTATGAATGTCATTTACATTCACTGGAATATGCCAAAACCCTGATTTGATATCAAAAACACTGAAATATTTCCTACCGTGTAACTTATCAAGAATATCGTCAATCCGTGGCATTGGATAACTATCAGTGACAACTACTTCATTCAGTTTACGGAAATCAATATTGTTATTTCTAAAGTTAGTAACTTGAGCATTTCTGTTGTTTCTGTTATTTGAGTAGTTATGATTTTTGTTTGAATTATTGAGATTATTATTGAAATTATTGAATGGTCGACGTCCACAATCATTCTTGAGATGACCTTTCAAGCCACCATTGAAACAGAATTTATCTACAACATTATATTGAGTTTTATTGGGTGGTTTGACAATCAGAGCTTCACCTTTCTTACCAGGATTACCTTCATTCAAACGTTTCTCAGTTTGCAAAAGATTCGCTTTCAACTGAGCTAAAATAATTGAGTCACCTGTATCAATAGTCATTTCGATATTTTGTCGGAAATTTTCATAAACAATCGGTAAATCATCTAAAACTTTCTGACAAGATTTTCTTCATCAACATCAATTGCACGATCTTTGTTTAAATTAATTGCAGTCTCGAGTTCGGAGAAATAACTAGCGACTGTGTGAGCCGAAGTGAACTTTACTTCAATGATTTTTCTCTCAACACTAAATGAGCTTTGTTTAGTTCGCTCTTCTCTAAACTTGTTAGACTTACATATTCGGAATCGATGCTAAGCATGATTAGTTGTTGAGCAGTGGAATCCTTGACACCCCATTCGTTGATTTCGGTGTTTCATCTGGTGATGTTACGTTGAGTTAGATTAAGAATCACATCAGCAGTATATTCAGATGGACGTTATGATGAACCGTCAAGAACATTAAGTATTCCTTTGGATCAACAGATGGTTTCAATGGATCTTTTCCAGACATAATAATTTGTCTTGGTTAATTTAATCACTTGGATTTCGTTGGTAATCATGATGGTGTTGTCAGTGATGATTATTCAAAAAAGAGATGATGTAAAATAAGTAAACACAATTGCCAATATTCAGGCTTAAAGATTTAGTATCAAATACTGATGACAAAACAAACAAAAGTCAGCAAAACGTGACTGGGCCCATAACCTGTTGGTTATGATGGTGAAAATAATAAGGTTAAAGATAAATCAAATAAAACAAAACACAAGGTCAATATTCAGAACAAACAGACAGCAAGTCAAATTAATCAAATTAAATGAGTTTATTCAAAAATTGTGAAGATGATGAAGAAGCAAAGACAATTCACCTTTAAGTAAATTAACACCAAGAGGACAATACAAAAAATATACAAACTAGGCAAGTTCAAAGATACACCATCGACATACAATATGCACCATAAGTGTTAAGGTGACATTTTAGGTATTTATAGTTGGGCAAGTAAGACAGCCCTTTTGATTCCTCGGTGAGTAAGAGTTTGTTTGACGGTTTAGATGAATGAGTGGAAGAAAACCAAGGAATGTGAGTTCCTCTAGGGATTTGTGTTTGCTGGTAGCAAAAAGGTTGAAAATAGCTTAAGTCGGTAAAAATGGTCAAGTTGAAGGGTCAAAATAGCTTCTAGCTTTAAGGGGTGCAATTGGGTGTTATAGTTAGTTAGTATATGACAATAGTGAATGATTAAAGAAAGAATCAAGTTATTAGGTTGAATGGTTGAGGTACAGTGGACACTTATCCTAGACTTTTAAGGGTTCCCAGTCCATGGGGAAACTGAGGTTTTCTCACGAACTATGAGTCGTACAGGTAAACAAATGTTACCAGCAGATTTGTCTTGATGAGAGAAAGCTAACAATATGTAGAAATATCGAGGAATACCAGAGGTTCCTTATTCAGTAGCTTCATATGGTGAAATGTATGGGAAAATGTAAAAATAAGGGTTTTTCATAGTTTACGCTGAATTGACTTATCAGGTCATAACTAATTATGATTCATTAAGTTCATGATGATGAACTATGACTGATTAAAGTGTTAAATATTAGTCAGAGTCATTATTGGTGAAGTTGGAAGATGAAACGAGAAAAAGTGAAAAATTCAAAAATTTAAATAATTAAGATTGAAGGTAAATCATGACTAATAAGTCATATTGAACATTTAAATGCAGAGAAAGGTTAGTGCAAGTTGTAATAAATCAAGTAAAGTTGGTATTTTCAACCAACAGGGGTTTGAGTAAGATAGCTGTGGATTCGTGTGCAGTTTCTTTTTACATAAATTTGGAAAATTCTTACCTTCACTTTTTTACTTCAGATGGCAGCACTGAAACAATTGTAGGGTACTGAAACTACAGATTTTAGCAAAACTCTGAAATTTAAACTCTAATCAAGCTTTAAGAAACGTCACGTGTCACTTTCTAATAGTTGAATGGTAACACTTGCAATTATTTCAAAAATTAATTTGGACATTATGATTTACTCTGAAAGAGATTGACATCCTCTTCTCAATTAGCAGTTATCTATCTAAGCATCACAAGAATGAAATGAATGAATAGCCATTCATCTTCATGCATTAAACATCAACCTGATAGAAAATTAAACACAAAGCTATAACTCTGTCTGAATTTTGAATCACTGAATATTGCAGAATATTTTAGTCCAAAGTAAAATTGTTAATTAGTCAATACAATAATTGTTGAAAAAGTGGTCATTGTGAGTGTTGCCATTCTCGATTCCCTCTCATGAAAATTTTTGGACTCATTTTCAATGGCCAGACAAACCCCGCTAAGTTTCTACTCTTTACTCGAAAGTCAGATTTTGTATAATTTCTCCTTTATTAAATAAAACGGAATGGATCTTGGTGGTAGATTTCTCATTTGGTTTTTATTTGAATTAATGGAAAAAATAGATTGAATGCTTTTCCGGTAAATTAATTAATCTAAAATGAAAGTTAATCCGTATCTACACGACATTGGAGTTTCCGTTAAACTCGTCATTTAAAAAGTTGAAAAACATCGCAAGGTCTATCCATTTTATTAAATGAATCTTATGATTATAAGAATATTAATTAAAAGTCTCTTTACCTTAAAGACTTGTCTAGTCATCATCAGTCCTACATCAATGATGCATTTTCAATTATCCATTGAAAAAGACTTACCTTAAAGACATCAATATTCAGTTTTCTTATGTTCAGATCAGATAAAAACAGTTGAATCCAATAGACAATAAAATGAATTTGAGTTGAAACAAGAGTCAATACATTATTTATTAAGAATAAATGATTATGTTTTAATAAACTTCAAGTATTTTCATGTAGATTTGTAATTCGTATAATTACATTTTTCATATCGTTCTCTTTCTATATCAGCAAAGAAAAACAAGAAAAAGCTTAAATCATTACAATTCATGACGCAGTTGTCGGAAAATGAATATATTAATGGATATAAAAAGAGATTCCCGAAGAGCCAGAAAAATAAATGAACCAGTTATCGAGCGAAAAGCAAAAATTCTAGTCAAGATTTGAAGATTTCCAAAAATTTCGTTTTACTTTTTTGAAAGTTAGGAGCCAAACGTTTTGGGTAGCAGCCCCAGTATTTCAAGAGCATTATTCATCAAAATTGAATTTACTCTGTATTCAAGTTTAATTTGTTTTATCGACATTGAAGATAATCAGAACTTTTACATCATAAAGATCTGATTATATCTTTGACCAGAATTTTGTTACCAAAAAAGTTGACTTTTCAAGTTGAGTCGCAATGTTAACGAAATTTTTGGACGCTTTGAATTTCCATGTGACTTTGCTGAAAAACAAGCAAATTTGCTGAACTGATAATCCATTTTAACTTTCGCTACAAAGCTCGAGTCCAAAGAAGCGAAAAAAACTTTCACTTTATTTTTATTGAGCATTTTATTTTTCGGTGTTGAGAGTCTTTGCTCTTGATCCTTGCCAATCCAATTGGCTTAAAAAAAGAGTTAAAAGTTCCAGATTCATCGATTTCCAAGTTCACTCGTCATGGAACAAAACTATCCAATAAATATCTGTTGTTATCATGGAATAATTTTTTCGACCATTTTCATTCAACATTTTCTTTTCACCAACTTTTGATTCTTCTTTGACTTTGAAAGGCAGACAACATCAGCACCGATTGGAATCAGAATTGTGGTTGTTCAGGTGAATTCAATCATAGAATATTCAACTTGAACTATTTGAAAGTTAATTACATTTTCGCTCTCTACCTTTGCCTTGAAACTTGTTTGCCCATTGATCACAAGACTTGATTTGAACCTTTTCAAATCTTCTTTATGCAATGTTGTTACTTTCATTATTCAGGGAAAAATGTAAGTAATACCAAGATGATAATAGAAGAAAAAAAATGCTTCACAAAGAATTGGAATTTTTTTACTTTTATTCATCTTTTTTCTTCATTCTTCATCTTGTTCATTCTAATAATCTCTTGCCTCGGGAATCCATTCCATGAGTAGAAACTTTTTTCCCCGCTAAACTCAACTCAATAAATGTGTCTGTATCTGGTATCATCACAGCCTGCTTCAGGCCATGGAACCCTGATTCTCACTTGTTCATCGGGAACATTTTTTTTCAACACTTTCGATGTTCGAAGAAGAAAAATGAAAATTCATTCAACTCTCAAGTCAGTCATTTACAAACATGATGTTTCCAATAATCCTCAACAATTTTCTTCATCTTTCAATTTACATTTTCACCTTGATTTTTCTTCTTTTTTTCATTTCCATTGTTTTTTCAGCTTCAACCGAAACTTTCATCTAATAAGGAACCAAGTTATAAGCATAGGCACCATTGATGATAGATAAAAGTAGTTTACGATTCCAGCAAATCTACAAAATAGACTGGAACCATGAGGATGGCTGGCACATTTGAGACGTTCAGAGGTTGATGTCGCACCGCCTTGCATTGCAGCCGGATTCTCACCTCCATTAAGCACATGAACATGGGTCAAGGCGGGTTTGGCGTAATGTGATGGAAGTGAAGTCGAGGTTAACCTACAAGTGTAGTTTCCCGCGTCGGATGTTGTTGCACTGTTGATTAAAAGATTGGAAATCATGAGTTTGTTTCCTGAAGGCGAAGACAATTGTGAAGACGTCAGCTTGGCACCGCGTCCATTGGAATCGTAGTTGATTATTTGATCACTGTGTTGCCATATTATCAACGAATTGGATTCCGGGTCGGGAATGTAATTGATTAAACAGGTTAAATTAATGTTGGCACCTTTTTTCAAGTACAAATTGGCTCCTTGGGGTAATGACGGTTTTCAAGGCTAAAATGAAAGAAAAGAGAAAAAGTTGAAATTTTGTTTTTTTCGAGAAAAGTTTTTCTTTTTTGAGGCAAGCGATAGATTTGATGGGAATGTTGCCGCTTCTGATTAACTCTATTCGAGTTAAAACATTTTTAAAGGCTCGTTTCACCATCGATTAACTTGAATGACAATTTTGCTTTGGGTTTTCCTTTTCAATTCACAATGATGATGAGATTCTGTACTGGACTCTGCTAAATGGACAATTGCAACTCAATGAATTTTGGTCTTGACAAGAGTTTTAACAATAAATGAGTATAATATTGAACAACAAAGAAAATGAGCTTTTTTAACATTTTTTTATATTTTGTTCTTTTTTCTCCCTTTTCCTTTTATTTCGGTTTTTTTCAAACCAAATTGATTCAGAAAAGGTCAACAACATGTAATGAACTTGCATTGAGAAAATTGGAGCAACCATTTTGCTGGTCACCATCAATTGGACACTTGAATGTTTCAAGTTTTGGTTAACCATGAAAGTTGTTGCAATGATTGAGCATTTGCATCATTTTCAATTGGTAAATATTTAGACTAGAATTTTGGATTTCCAAAGAAGGTCGACATTTTTTTTTCGTTTCTTCCACATTTAGTTGTGGCTTTTGCGAGTGTAAAGAAAGAGATTAACTTGAAGAGAAGAATGAAGAAGGTAAAAGGAAAATAAAATTCAAACAATTTAAATATAATCACATTTGGATAAGCAAATACCATGAGAATGCTTTTGGCTAAATCATTATGCTAATAAGTTTAAAATAAAACTCCAGCTAATCTAGTAGATACTATCAAGATAATGATTGGATATAACGTTTGGAGCATTGGAACGAGTAAAACCACAAGTTTAAAATGTTGGTGAGAGTGGAAAGCAGAGAGAAGGTAAATGTTGAATTGATGAGCCTTTTTTGAGTTAGTGATTTAAGAGGAAAAATTAGACTGGCATATGATTAAGATTGTTATAATGATGATATTATTGTAATGATGGCTTCACTTTGCTTAGGATTGATGATTCTGATGTCAATGAAGCGATACTGTGAGATTAAAGGTAAAAATAGATTGCATTGGGATGCAAATAATATCATTTAAACACATGCAAAAGAGCAACAATTTGAGGCTACATTTCAACTATTATATTGGTGAAAGATCACGTGGTTGACTCGAAATTGGTTCATCATTTAACGTGATTAATTTAATATTGTAGCACAGAGATGAGAGGAAAATTCATTTGTCTTTAGTGACAAAAAACTCAAATAGTTGGTGAATAAATGTTGCTTTGATTTTATGTCAGACTGTCTAAAACAATGTTTCCACATCTAACCACATTACTTTTCCACTGACACTTTGTCTCGGAGGAAAATTCTTGATTCAAGAAGTTGGATATCGCACTCAAATCATGCAAATGAGCAACAATTCATTGTCTCATGACATTGATCGTTGTAGCGGTAAAGACTAATTAGTTGTATGAGAAAAGCAAATGAACGAAATTTTGAACATTTTATTAAGAAATTGAAAGATGAACGATCTGAGATGCATCAAAGTCTCGAGTCTAAAAATCGTTGGAAAACCCGATCAAGTTGAAAAATAGCTGAAAATATGTTCGAACAAAGTTGTATCTTGCTTTTTTGCATGAAAAGTATTGTTGACAAGTGTTGAATTGGTAAGAAAATGAGAGTGAAAAGGAAAAAGGAAATGAAAATTAGTAGATGGAATCATCATGAATTATTTTATTCCAATCAACTGTGCATAACATGAAGGTCATCAATCGTATTTAATTTGTTGATTGCACAGTGATATGCATACATAAACTTTATCTAGATAACACAGTTTCCATGTCATGAAATGAATGAGTTTGGAAAGAGATGAAGAAAAAGAAGAGAAAAAAACGAAAGAAAAAAGAAGATGAAGATTGTGTTTATATGATATGTATTCATGTTACATAAGAAACACAAGTTTACTGTTATATAAAGAGAAAAGAGAAGGAAAAATTATGCTAATATGAAACTGGTCATGGATTTTATTTTGTCTTTTCACATTCACAATGAGTATAACGAGCATTATTTATCTTTACTTGTCATATACGTCTGTTATCACTACAAGAAGTTGAGAGAAGAAGAAGAAAAAAGTTGCCCAAAATATCCAATACTTTTACTGTGAATAATATTTACTCACATCAACAGCTATTCAGAGCAACCTTGTTTTTCCCTTCATTTTTTATACTTTGTCCAATTTCATTTGTTTGCCCAAAGTGATGTCCTTACAACGTCAAAATGTGAATCCACAACAAAAGTGAAAACAACTCTTGCCTTTGTGTGGGAGAGCAAAGAGTTGAGCAAAAAAGCTCAACAAAAACAATCTGACAAGAATCAATGACAACTTTTGTTTTCGTCTTTTGCGAATCAAAGCAAAATGGTCAATCCCTATTGATTATAAATCGATTACATGCACTTGAACGGACACAAATAGTTGCATTAAAGGTGATGAAAAATGTAAATGTATAATTTGTCCATCAAAAGGTGAAAATATCGATTCGATAAATTTACTCTATTCTTTCATCGAACGCAATTTTCGTCGAAAATTTTTTCTCTTTCATTCCATATTCTTCCAAGAGAAAACTCATCGTTTACATGGAGTGAAACATTTAGTCTTCATAATTGAATGCATTTCAACGAATCGTTGATGTCATCATTTAATCTTTATTGTTAAAGGAACGAAGGAAACTGAAATTAATGAGACTGATAAGATTAATTACATGAAAGGGTGTCTTAATAACTGCAAGTTTATCAATCAAAAAACAATAATTGTTCAATTGTGAGCTTTGGAAATGAACATTCATTTGGTTCAATTTGGTTCAGTTGGTTAAACATATTGATTGGAAGTGAAAATCAAGAAAACAAGTTTTCAAAGTTTTCTCATCGAACATTGAAATTGATGAAAATGGAAAATTTAATGAACTCAAGTGTTTCGAGGTTATTCAAATTATCGCTATTACGTTTTATAATTGACTGATGTTGAGTAGAAACTGAAAGTTGTTTTGTTTTATGATCGACTTGAAGGGAAACACACAAAACCAACAAATTGTAATGATAGCTGGGAGTATGAAAGGAAGGATAAATAATAATAAAAAACGTTCGAAGGGTGAATAATAATGTGAAAAGTTATCAGTTGATTCCATGTACTATTTATTCATTTGTGTTTTATGACAAAATAATAACAACATATAATGGTGATGATAATACAAGGGCAAGTCTGGAAACAGATAACTCATTACCATAGAAACTGACGTGAAGGAAAAATTAAATGAATTGTTGAGTGAAAAGAGTGGAAAGATGATCAGATGAAAAGAGGAAAGGGATGAGAGAGAAGAGAGAAGAAGCTTTATCCCTGAATTTTCTCTTCTTTTCATTCTCTTTCTTCTTCTTCTTCCTCATCACATTATCATCATTGTTGCCTTGCTGTTGCACAGTCAACAAAGATCACAACCTTAAATGAACATTTTCACAGATAGTAAACACTAAACAAAGTAAATGTTTTTTTACGCTTCTCTCGTCGAACTAAAGGTTTCAGGGAAATTATCTTATCCCAATTATTATTTAATCCAATAAAGCTGTCAATAACATTAGCTGATAATGGATAAATGAACAGACCTGTGACCAAAATTGAATCAACATTTCATCGACTAATCTAAATGTTTTTACCATCTTTTCATTTTGTTGTCACTCGATTACCTTCATCTTTTCAGAGTCAAAGCCTTATTTATTGACTATTTTGAAGCTCGTTATTTCAACTATTTTAAAACGATAAACTTTACTTAACAAAGTTTTTTTATCATTTTCAATTTCGATTCGGATCAAAATGCAGTTTTCTCAATCCAACGATTTCAAACTGTGCAATTGAATCCAATTTTTAGGCTTTTAACTACCGAAATCGAACTTAAGCATTTAAAGGTATTGTACTTTTATCATTCACTGTTTTCAGTTCCGAATATTGCTGGTGATAATATGATAATAATAATGTACGTGTTGTCGCTCTAGTAGAGTTGTTCTTATATGATGGATCGAAAAGAACTGGGAGAATTCAAGAAATCGAAATCAATTTTTAAGAGCTTGATGATAACGAAACATCTTCTGCTCGACACCAGAAGTTGAGCCTCAACTGGCTGGGATATTAAATACTTTGATAAAAAGGACAATTAGATTTCCAGAAAAGGCAAATTCCATTCAAACCTGTGCTCGAAACTTGCAGTTCTATATTCAACAATGAAATGATTAATATTGAGCTTTTTCCAGCCTTAAAACTGCCTTATGCAAGTTCAATCAGAAGAAAAGTTTTGACGGGAAATTTTCAATTGGCAGTTTCGCTTGGTAGGAAAAGGTTGAATTTTTTGGTGAAAATAATGATGTTAATGAACTCAAAGGCAAAGGAAGTTAAAGATGTGCAAAGATAAATGATAAAAAATCAGGAAATGGTTGAATCCAAGAAGAGGGAAAAAGGTTTGCAGATGAAAATGGAAAAGGCAAAATTGAAATAAAAGAAAAGATTTAAGATGTTTAGTTAAACCAATGGACCATAGAAGATATATGCATCAAGAATATGTCGATACGCAATCTGAGTTTTCTGTGCCTTTGCTCTTTCAGTTTAAATCTCTTCTTTTTTTCCCTATTTTTCCATTCACTTTTCTCCTTCCTTCTCATCATCATAATACAACTTCTTTTGTTTTTCCCCCACAAATTGGGCTTCATTTTCTTCTCTTTTGCCCCTTTCTTCATCTCACCAGATGAGGAGGTAAGTGGTTTATTTAAATTGATTGATAGTCTGCTTTGGATCTTGTAGGAACCATATCATCATCAATCTAATGCAAGATCTTTTTTTTCTTCTTCCTATGGACGATCAACATGCATCCTTTGCATTTCATTTTATTCACCAGCATCATCATGAGAAACATAATCATCATTATCCACATCTTAAGCTGACTGCCC